GGGGTTGTTAACCAATGTCATAAAACAATATGTGTACTACTGTTTCATGAGAAACTATTTGTTCTGTAAGCTTTCACCTGAAGTACAATAAAAAATTTAAAAAAAAAAATGTCAAGGAGGATATTTCCATACCGGGAAAAAGAAAAAAAAAACGGAACTGGCCCACCACCATGACTGAGGAGAAATGAAGATATTTCTGTAAAGGGTCGTACTTCTCATCAGGTGAAATACTGATCCCATTTGCTACATCAAATCCTTCTGCTACCACTTTAACTTCATTTGGACTGTAGTAAACAACATTTGCCCAGCGTAAGTTCAAGTATGTTTCCAAATACTTTAAGAAAATGTCAGAGAAATAGTGGTCATTGGTGGCATAGAAATGTGCAGGTCCAACAGCCACGACATCATTCACACTGAAAGAGAAAAATAACATGCGTGAAAAAATAAAAAGCCTTGTTGGTCTCTACAGTGGTTAAGAGGTCGGCTGCTAACCAAAAGGCTGGGAGTTCAAATCCACCAGCCGCTTCTTGGGGCAGACTTCCTCTGTCCCGTAGGGCTGCTAGGAGTCGGAATCGACTCGACAGTAATGGGTTTTAACGGTTTATAGTCATACACATTGTATTATAATATTGTTTGCCAGAGAACAATTTTTTACTATACCAAGTAATTTGATGACAGGTCATTTAGCAATTATGGCAGGATTATCATAAAAGAAAAAAAGGATTTGGTAGCTATCAGGCTATGTTTTTTGATGGCAAGAAATATATGGTTCAAGATCAATATGTAAGGACAGAGCTGTCCATAGTATAAAGATGGACAGAGACTGGTTGGCTGGTGAGCTGGTCAGGCAGTCAATAACATTTACCTAGTTCCATTTACTCAGTTGCTGGATTTTTCCTGAGTTCCGTTGCTTAGTTAAGAGTCAAACTAAGCTTGACTGTTCAATTTCTACCTGACTCACAAAGCCAGCCTGCTGTGAATGAATAGGTACTCAATAAACACTTGCAGAGAGACCAATGATGAAATTGCCATAGAACAATGCTTCAGGTGAGAGATTTCTACACTAAAAACAATTACATCTTTAAAAGCAGTTAGGCAAGGGTGTTAGTAAATTTAAATTGCAATTACCTTATGCAGAAATTTCTGAAAGAGCTGCTTTATCCTTTGTTAAATGAAAAATAACAAAGCTACAGGGAAGATGGGTCCCGTCTTTCTGAAAGAGCACCATGAGGCCTGAATGGTATTTATGCTCCTATTTATTATGAAGTGCGTTTATGGAAGAATGATCAGGAGTTAAACATGCTTAAACCCTAGGTAGGGACGTAGAAATTAAAAATATTCATCAAGTTTAAAATAAAACAAGCAAGAAGCTAATGCAAGCCGAGCCCAGGAGGTACCTATGATTCTCTTTTCAGCCACATTATCAAATAGCTTTCTGTTCTTGAAGTAGTAGTGACTCACTTCCAACTCTAATCCCTCCAGTTGTGTAGGGCCATTAGCCCATAGCCCTCATTAAGCCTGTGAAAGCTAAAGCCTCATACAAACCACATATAAAGTAGGGCTACTCTTCTTCAGCTAGACAGGTATTATTATTATTATTTTGGTGATGGAGGGTGACAGAGCTAGCAGAAAAAAATGGTGTCTTCTACTCTCAAGATGGACCCAAACAGCGTCTCCTCTGTAGCCCTGCATTTTATCATTTCTCAAAGAAATCCACATAAAGCACTGATTATTATAATGGTTAACATCAACTCTCATATGCCTTGTTCTCCCTGCTCTCCAAGGCAACATTTTTTTGGTTCTTATAAAAGTTGAAAGGACCACCACGGAGGAATATTTGAAAATGCTAGAGATAAACTGGAGAATGAACAAAAGGAGTAAGTACCTTGGAAAAAGCTCATGTTTGACTGTTTTTATATGCAAAAGAGAATTTTCTTCTTCTTCATATTTAAAAATTTCCACTGTATTCTTGCTTTCCGGGTGGTTTACAACAAAGAGATAAACTGTGTCATCTAAAAAATTGTAAGAACAGAGTTACAGGCAATTCCTGGATTACGAACGAGTTCCATTCCTAAATCTGTCTTTAAGTTGAATTTGTACGTAAGTCGCAACAGTTACGCAGGGTTCATATCTAAAGTCAGTCAAATGTTTGTCTTAGAATATAGTATATAGGGTACCTTTCCATGTATAAAAAACATTAAAGAAACACCTCCAGATACACTAAAACACCTTTACCATAATAATAGAGTGATCATAATAATGTTTCGATGTGCAACGCAAAGTAGTGCCCATTTGTTATTACGAACCATTGAATTTTTAATACAATAGGCTTTACGGGGGATTGGTTCATAACTACGCGTTGTACCTAAGTCGGATGTTCCTAACCCGAGGACTGCCTGTAATTTACTAGACATAACCATAGGACCCTTGGGCAGACACTGACATTTAAATACCACAGGCAAGGAAAGGTTGAATGTATAAGCTGTTACACAACCTAAGGAATAATTCTTCTCCTCGTCTTTCCCATCACTGTCTATCTGGTGTTATTTCTGATCAGTGGTCCTCTGACCTTTAAGACAGAATGTTTCCCACTCCATTGACAGAATTCATGAATAATCTGTTTATTGTTTAATTCAAAAACATAGCTATTTTTAATGCTTTGATCATAGGTATATAAGAAGGTTATAAAATCTAAACCATCCTTCAGGTACTAACTGTTAGAAATTTCAAAATGTAGCATAACTTACTGCTAGCTGAAGAGGCAAACAATAGACTTATTTGTATGAAGAAAAAGAAATAATTTATGAGCTAATTGCTCTTCTCTTCTAATCAATATGACCCAAATCTATTTTCCGGAGTCATTTGTAAACAATTACAAGTTTCTTAAGGTTTATAATTCATTAGTTCTTACCGTCATCTATAAAAGTGCTGATGCCATGTGGATTAAATGAAGCCAAATTAAACCCACGGCTGATTCTTAATTCCAGGGCCCGCAGTTTTTTCTCTTTCAAATCCATCATTAGTATTCCTCCAGGCTTATCGGGTGCAAAGCTGTGGAGTCCTGGATGCTTTCGACCCTTTTTCCAAAAGAGAAAGAAAAAAAAACAACTAAATACAAACGGCTTAAATAATTTAATGAACTAAAATGAGAACTACAAATAAATGATAGAGACTTTGGTTAAAGATAGTGACAGAAAGTCACAAACACAAAGAAAACAGAGAGGAGACAAAAGAAACAATTTGAAGCTGGGAAGCTGAAAGATAAACAGTAACTGATTTTGCTGAGTTGGGGCAGAAGATGGAGTTTATTCCCTTCAGAGGGTAAAACAGAAGGTACGAGACACCAGGCAGAGAGTTGAGAGTGGAAAAAAGTGAAAGTTTACATACTGACTTAAGCCCTTGGCCTGTGATTTGCTTCCAAATGCCAGTTGTTGTTGTTGTCAGGTGCCGCTGAGTCGGTTTCAACTCCTAGTAACCCTATGTACAACAAAACGAAACACTGCCCAGTCCTGCAGCGCCATCCTCACAATCCTTGTTATGCTTGAGCCAACTGTTGCAGCCACTGTGTCAATCCATCTTGCTGACAGTCTTCCTCTTTTTCGTTGACCTTCTACTTTACCAAGTATGATGTCCTTCTCCAGGAACTGATCCCTCCTGATAACATGTCCAAAGTATGTGAGACAAAGTCTCTCCATCCTTGCTTCTAAGGAGCATTCTGACTGTCCTTCTTCCAAGACAGATTTGTTTGTTCTTTTGGCAGTCCGTGCTATATTCATATTTCTCGCAAACACCATAATTTAAAGGCATCAATTCTTCTTCAGTCTTCCTTATTCATTCTCCACCTTTCACATGCATATGAGGCAATTGAAAACATCATGGCTTGGGTCAGGTGCACCTTAGTCTTCAATGTGACATCTTTGCTTTTTAACACTTTAACCAGGTCCTTTGCAGCAGATGTGCCCAATGCAATGCGTTGTTTGATTTCTTGACTGCCAGTAATCTTGGTCAATGGATAAGTCAGGACTCCCCTCCTTGTCTCACAGTCCATATCCAATCTATCAGAAACTCCCACTGACTTTACCTTGAAAACACACCCGTTGATAAGGATGTGAAGATTTCTCACTGTTTTCACCATGACTGCCCTTATCCAAACCACCATCAACTATTGTATCAGCTGCCTCCTCAATGGCCTTTCTGTTTCTGTCCTTAACCCCCTACAGTCTATTTTCAAGTCAGCATCCCTATTATGTCAGGTTATATCACACTCAGAACTCCCTAATGGCTTCCCAACTCACTCAGATTAAGAGAGAAAATTCTTACTATTACCTGAAGGCCCTGTATGATCTGCCCTTCTAACCCTCCATCACTCTCCCCACCCCAAGCACCTCATCTCTTTGCCCTCATCTCTACTACTCTCCTCCTTAGTCATGCTGCTTTGGCCATACTGGCCTTGATTTTCTTCAAACCAATCCAACACATTCTCACTCAGGGCCTTCATACACACTGTTCCCTCTGTCCAGGAATGCTTTTCCTCCAGAGATCTGGGACTCCCTCCCTCAATTTCTTCATGTTTGTGCCCAAAAGTCACCTTCTCAGTGAGGCCATTCCCAACCAAACACTCCCTTGCCCTGCTGCTCCCTGTCCTCCCTACCCTGGTTTACTTTTGTCCATTGCCCTTATCACCCTATGACATACATACATATTTATACATACGTAAATACTATAAACTTAGGGGCTTACCGGTAGAAACAGAAAGGCTAGTGAGGAAATTACTGTTGTTCCTTGAGCACAGCAAACTCAGCTCCTCCTCCAAGCTTTTGTGCTCCTCTTTTTTCTGCCTGTAAGTCTCCGCCCCCAAATCTGCAAGGCTCACTTCTTTGCTTCCAACTGATCTCTGGTCAAATGTCACTTTTCAGAGAGACCCTATCTAAAGTGCACCAAACTGAAGTGGCAGTGTGACTCCACCCTCATCACTGCCTCACCCTTCTTTATTTTTTGTTAAAGCATTTACACCATCTTAACATATATAACATCTGTTCATTCTCTCTCTCCCCACTGAGACGTAAGCTCTGTGAGAGCTGGGATTTCATCTCATTTGTTTACTGCTGGATTCTGGTGCCTGGAACAGTGCCTGGTATCTAGTCAACCCTGTTCCACTAATTCCACCTTTATCATGCACTAGATCCCCATTTACGTGTTAGTCTGTTTGGGGACTCTGTTTTGTTATGTTGACTTATCATGCCGAGTCCTATGCCAATATGCCACTTTTTTAATTACTATGGCTTTATAGTCCGTTCTGATATACAGAATGACAAGGCCCCACGCCCTTGTTGCTTTACTTTTTCAAAAGAGTCTTAATTATTTCTGCTAATTTATTCTTCTGTATAAATGTTAGAAATTGATATTCTGAATGGAACCTTACTTTCATTACATTTTCTAGTTAATTTTTGCTAGTGCATAGCAAAGTCATTGGGTTTTATATGTTCATTCTGGATCCAACCATTTCACTAAACTTTCCTCTGAGTTCTAGTAGTCGGTTAGTCTCTTGGATTGTTTAAAAAAGAGGTATTTACATTGTCTGAAACTAATAGCATTTTAAGTTTATTTTCTACCTCACACTTCTTTTTCTTGTACTGACAGTCGTGGCGTTATTGAGCATTTTCTTCTTATTCTGTACATTAATGGGAAGACATGATAATGTTACACCATTAAGGATGACATTTGCTCTAGGTTTCTGGGAAGTTTCCTTCTATTTCTAGTTTATTTGGAGCTTTTAATGAGGAATGAGTGTTGAATTTTATTTAGTGCTTTTTCAGCACTCATTGGGATGATCTAGGTCTCTTCTCTTTTAAATCAGTTAATTAGTAAATTATATACATTTTACACTGATTCATTCTTAAGGTACTTGGTGAAAATGTGTTATTGGTTATTTTTTTAATACACTGCCTTACTCAATTAACTAACATGATGCAATTATATTACATGTACATTTAAAAGAGTGCAAAAAATAATAATAAAGCCTCACATTATGCACAAAATTGGACATAATAGGAATTCCCTTCAATTTTTAAAAATCTATCAACAATAAGATAAATTCAAACCTGCAGGCCCAGTAAAGAGAATGAACTGGGATTATGCTAGTGCCAAGGAGCCCTGGTGGTACAGTGGTTAAAGCACTTGGCTGCTAACCAAAAGGTCGGTGGTTTGAACCCACCAGCCGCTCCTAGGGAAAAAGATGTGGCAGTCTGCTTCCATAAAGATTTAGAGCATTGGAAACCCTATGGGGCAGTTCTACTCTGTCCTATAGGGACGATATGAGTTGGGATTTGGCTGGATGGCAGGAGGTCTGGTTTGGTTTTATGCTACTGCCAAATGACAGGGATGCTTCAGCTATTAATGATCTCCATTTTTAATCAGTATCCTATAAATAGCATGGTTTACATGCATAGGAAGCTCTACCAGTGATGGTGATGATTATTCACGGTTCTCTGAATGCTCCCTGTTACTTAAATCTTTTTTGTATTCTGTAGCAATGTCGTCCAATCCCTCATTAAGTGCGGTGTTAGTTATGAGGTGACCCTCAAACTCGTAACTGTGGAACAGGATGGGTTAGATGGGCTAAAATGCTAGGAAGAGGGCCAAATAACTGCCACGAGTACATGTTTTTTACTTAGACAGCAATGCACTTTGGGAAATACTAAGGACAAAGCTGAGTAAATTAAAAGCAGTATTAAAATGGAAACATTTTTAAATATACAAAAAAAGTCATAAAACCAAGGAAGGATAAGAGAAAAAAAAAATGGAAAAAATTCTGTTCACATGGCTACAAGATCTTTGTCACTGTAACATGCCCTTCACCTGAAATGGCTATAGAAGCCTATGTGAGCCATAGCCTCATCTACCCTGAGACCAGAAGAACTACCACTACCAATCGTTCTGATCAGGGCAATAACAGATGGACTCTGACAGAAGGGGAGAAAGCGCAGAACAGAACTCAAATTCTTAAAAAGTCCAGACTTACTGGACCAGTTGAGATCAGATGACTCCCAGAGACTATCGCCCTGAGATACTCTTTAAACTTTGAGCCCAAACTATTCTCTGAGATCATTTTTAGCAAAATAATGGAGTGCGCACAAAATAAAGGATGTTACCCATAGGTATGGTGCTCTACTAAAACACCATCTACATGAGATTAGAAGGTCAACATTTACTCTAAAGCAAAGATGAGAAGATAAGGGAGCAGAGAAACTAGAATACTGGAAACAGAACAACCAGACCACAGTTAAAGAGAATGTTGACACACTGTGAAAAATGTAATTAATGTTGCTGAACAATCTGTATAGGAATTGTCAAATGGGAACCTAATTTACTGTGTAAACTTTCACCAAAACACAATAAAATATTATTTAAATAAATAATCAAAATGGCTGTAGAGTTACAGGCTTGGAGACCACACCCTTCCTACTTCCAGATTTATTCCTGACGGAAAAATCTTGAAATAGGTGAACTCTGGATTACACAAATCTTTGAGAACACATTCTCTGCAAAAAAAAAAAAAAAAAAAAAAGCAACTGCCTTCTACTTTATTCAGGATTTTTGTATCTTAACGTATGAGCAATTTTGACTTGCAGTCCCAGTGGGTTTTCTAAGCCTATAGACATAAGCACAAGCAGGTGCTTCTAAATAAACCCAGAGTTCTCTATCACTTTATTCACTCTGTGTAGGTAATTAGATAAAACTTTTCTTTTAAAACTGTATTTTTTTCATTAAGTATAAATTTTCATGTTTCTGCTAAAGTTCACAGTATTTCTTCTTCCTCTCAGTACTAACAACCAGGGGCTCACAGTCTTTCATATAATAACCATAGGAGACTGAAGAGTGTACATTCTCTCACCTTTCTCTTAAATCTGACAACTATTTTATTAGTGCTGCGACTCTCTTCTAAAGTATCTCCAACTTTTTCACATCCCTTCTGAGTTGCAGAGCCTGAAAATAATGGATGCTGAGAGGGAACAGAATAATTACAGGCCACATTCAGAGGATATTTGCTTTCTCAAGAAAAAATGGACTCATGAAGATGCCAAGAGTCTCACTGCTGGCCAAGCCAGGAATGAAGGTGGTCAGAACCTCCTCATCAGCCACTTTCATGGATTTCCAATCAGCATGGGTATAAGCGCAGGCCAGCATCACCAAGGCCAATCAATTTTAAAGTCTTTATTATATGCCCAGAAAGGATATTATTTTTCAGCTTACAAGAATGAAGGCAGAAGTGAAGGGTATAAATAAACTCAGTCAATGACTTTCCGCTTATGATAGGCTATTCAGAAAGAAGAAATAAAGGGAAAAACAAAACAATGAAACAACCTTACATCTTGGTTTGGGAGAGCTGGTACATTGTTTGAAAATAAATAACAGCAAGATTATTTGTTAAAACTTGAATATCTAATGAGAGGAAATATGGATGTAGTATTTAAAACAGTATCATGATAGTATCTAATGCGCACAATAATGCCCAATATATCTTTTTTAATAGCACACTTTTAACACATTGAATGTGCTGGAATATTTTAGTGCAATGCAGAGGGGAAATAACGAGCAATAAATCAATTGGTAAACACTTTTCAGCTGTGTGTTTAGATAAGCTTGAGGAAATTTTCCAAGAGCCTGTTAGACCTGTCTTTTTACCAAGACACATTTCAGAGAGTGATGGAATTTTGAAAACAAGTTACTGCTCTGCAGGCCTAATCCAATACCCTTGTACCTCCCCTACTGAGATTGGAGAAGGAAGGAGATACTCACCACACTAAAGAAAGCCAGACCATTGGGAAGTATGGCAATATCTTCAGAGCCAGCTTCTGTAAGTTCAAGGAATAGATAAATGTCATATTCAAATTCTGTTATTTGTCAGATGGTGCACAACTAGGGCTCTGTTTACTTCATCAGAGTGTCTGTATCTTTAGGGATGGTTCGGATTTTTTCCAAGGAATTGCTCTCTTTAATAAACGTCAGTCTAAACTCCTTCCTGCAGTGAACTTCTGACTTTAAATATTAGATATTGCATGTTTACTCAAATCAAAGTCAAGTAATCACCGCATTTACAGCTACAACACGGAAAAAGTTGACATCTGTATGCGCTTATGATAAACATCCAGATGTCCATCTAAAAGTAATTGTCATCAGGGGAATATTACTTTCAGAAGGAAGGGCTCATAGTCATTTAACCATGCAAATATCCTTGTCCCCTTCTCTGCTCATTCAGACTGAAGCAAATACAGACATTTCTCTCATTAACAGAGATGAAACACCTGGGATTACACATGTTCTCTTCAAAAAAACAATGCCGGCTTGTTCTCATAAGCAAACAAAGCTTTCCATTTAATCTTTAAATTTAGACTTTAAATTACAGAAAAAACTAGCAAAAGAAAATTAATGAAAAATACCTTGTACCTAAGCCAGCTGAAGCTTCTAACTCCTGTCTCTGAGGCAGGCTACAATTACTATTGATTGTTTATTGATTGTCGGCAGTACACTCCACACAGCACAGCAAATAATTAGACATAAGGCTTTCCCAGCGGCCTTACTGTGTAAATTCCGCAGACAGATAATAGACCCAAACACAAGAAAAAATGGCTTAGATTAAGCCAAATCATGACACATTCTTTGAGTCCACAAAATCCAATCTTCCCCTTTAAGACCTCTCCAAAGGATTTCTTCAAGATTATTTCTAGGTTGTCAAAACCCAACAGCATCTATCTATCCAGCCATTTTGCTTTTGATTCATGAGTTTCCATTTAGCCTGTTGTCTCCAGTGTCGCTGGCTCTATCAGAATGGGAAAAAGCAAAAACAAAATACAAATGCCAAGAACTTCACTTTGTAAAGATGACCCATCTGCCTGTTCCTTGGAAGGAAGACAGATATAAGTTTAAGCATAGTATAGTGGAGGGATTCTCAATCTGGGGTCTGTGGATTCCCAAGGAGCCCAAATGGGCTTCAAAGGGTCTATGAACCCTGCAAAATTTCTTGTGTATGCACAGATGAGAATTTTTCTGTGAAAAGGGTCCTTGGCTTTTAGCAGATGCAAAAAAGGGTCTGTAATCCCCCCAGATGGCTAAATCCTATAGTGGTTCTCAACTGAAAATGAACAGGAACCTGGGAAAATCTGCATACACACACACACACACACACACACACACACACACACACACACA